GAACATGACCATCTGACTTGCAGACAACATAGCAGTGCTCATAACAATTTATTAATTATTAATAAAGAAAAGGTTATTTCTTACTTTTTAGATTACAAGAAAAAACTTTTGGAAGTATACTTAGTTTGAAAACCAGTTGCTTGCACAGTGACTATAAGCTAAAGTTAGTAAGTATGATCATTTCATAAAAAAAAAAAACCTGTATATAGCTTGGGGATATGATTCCACTAAGTTAGTGTAGCTAGCCAGGCAGGTGAATCTCTTTCATTAATAAACAAAAGTTAAATGCTCTGATTTCAATCAAACAGAAAGTTTTCAATATAATGCCATTCCCCTTTCTTTATATGGTTTTGCTTAATGATGTCAGATCTTAATCTCTTATTCATATTTGGTTATTTTAATTATGTCTAGGTATGTGTATAAGGAACAGGGGGAAAAAGTCACTTTGGCTACACTGCATGGTTCAGGAAGAGGATTACTGTATAAGGCAAGAAAGGTAGGTTGAGGCCAAGTTGTCAAAGTCTTGAAATGCCAAATAAATATTTATATTCTGTTCTGGAGTCACCAGGGAGCCACTGGAGTTTATTGAGTTAAGGGTGGGGAGCTGACATGGTCAAACCTTTGCTTTAGGAAAATCACAGTTACGTAGAAAACAGATTGGAGAGGAAAGAGACTTGAGGCAGAGAGCCTAATTAGAAGGCTATTGCAATAGTAGAGCTGATGAATGACTGGAATTGGTAGCTGTGTGAGTAGAGAGAATATGTTCCAGAGCACTGATGAAGGATGCTACCCATCTACTCACAAAGGTGATGGACTCAATATACAGAATGAAAAGCAGTTGCAGACATGGCCAATGTGTAAATTTGTTATACTTGACTATGTTTAATTGTCACAAGGAAGGATTTGGGTTTTTTTTTTAATAGTATAGTATGGGTTAGGGGGCAGGTAGAGATTTGGGGTTATTAACTGCCAAAAATAAAGAAGAGTCACTGAAGCACTTTTAAACACACAGAGACCCAGACAAGCTAAACGGTTTTATAACACTGAATTTATTACATTAAAAAAAGAGATCAAGGGGCAGCTAGGTGGCGTGGCAGATAGAACACTAGCCCTGAAGTCAGGAGGACTTGAGTTCAAATACAGCCTCAGACCAAACACTTGACACTTACTAGCTGTGTGACCCTGGGCAAGTCACTTAACCCCAATTGCCTAAAAAAACCCACAAAAACAACCGAGACCTGCAGCTTCATATCTCACACTCTTTTTTCTGTTCTTTAGAGAGATGTTCATGTGAATCAGTGTTTTCCAATTAGCAAAAACCAAAAATTATTTTTTTTAAATCTGAAAAAAACATACAAGAAATGCTACGGAAGTAGAAATGACAAGATTTGGCAGCTGACTGGATACTCAAGAGTTATGGAAAGTAAGGAGTCAAGGATAATAGTCAGGTTATAAACAGGTTGCTGGAAAAATAGTGTAGCCTCAATAGAAAGAGGAAAATTTTAGAAGAAGAGTGTTTTTTGGGGTGAAATAACATAAACACAACTCATTCATTTCTGCTCATCCTAGGCTACTCACTTTCCCATACAAAACAAAACACAAAAAGCGTGTGTGTATCTGTGTGTGTGTGTGTGTGCTGGGCACACAGAGCCTCAGCTGAGGGGTGCCTGCTGTAGCCACTAAGCAATGCAGAAGAATGTGGAGGAAAAAGAGAAGGACTAGGAATGCTGGGGGACTGGAGCACTTAGGGCAGTACTGCTGTAGGTATCTTGCCTGGTAGCTGCCCTGAGAAGCCCACATCCTGCAGTGGAAGGAGAATTATTGTTGTTGTTAAGTCATTTCAGTCACATCTTACTCTTTGTGACCCCACTTAGGGTTTTTCTTGGCAAAGACCCTGCAGTGCTTTGCCATTTCCTTCTCCAGCACATTTTACAGATGAGAAAACTGAGGCAAAAAGGGTTAAGTGACTTGCGCAGGGTCACACAGCTAGTAATTTTCTGAGGCCGGATTTTGAACTTGGGAAGATGAGTTCCTCACTCCAGGCCCAGCACATCCTCAGAGAAATATTTAAGGGACTAGTGTGGTTGTGTTACAAACAAGGCCACAACAGACCATGGTGGGGTCAGGAGAAAAGGGAAGATGCAATCCTCCCATCTTCCCTTTCTCCCACTGATTCATCACACAACCTTTGAGGGCTCAAGGCATGGCATCCCAGGGTTACTCCACAGCTCCCACTTTGGAAAACAAGGTTAAAGGTAACTGACAGACCATAGTCCTGATCCTTTTTCTTCAATCTTTATGCTAACAGGTACCCTTCTATAGGCTTATGAGTGCCAACTGCTGTATCATGACCCTGAAAAAGTCTCCTGCTCCAGATTATACTCTGGAATTGACCCATGGTGGGAATGGAAGGGGACTCACATCTCCAAGGAGCTCTCAGCAAAGGCTTTCAAGGAACAGGTGCTGCTCAGCTTCTAGCACTGGGGATTTCCCATGAGCTATACAGATCTCTTTACATCAGCATCTAGTAATGTCTCCCAGCCCATACAGAGAGAAGTGTGTGTTAGGGACTAAGAAAGGAAGCAAATGGAGGTTAATATTGTTAATATCCAGGGTATTAGTAACTATCCATCTCAATTCATCAGCTCAAAGGCTACATCAGCAAAAGGCTTTTTATTAGACCTGGAAATGAGTCACTTGCCTACTTGTAAGTATAGTGAGACGTAAATACCTTATAGGAGCCATTCCAAAAGGCATATTTAGGATGTACTTCTTCCAGTCAATCAATCAATCAATCAGTCCATAAATAAACATTTATTAAGGACCAACTACGTTCCAGACACGGTGGTAAGTGCTGGGAATACAAAAAGAGGCAAAAGACAGTCCCTGCCCTTGAGGAGCTCACAGTAAGTTTCCTATCTGTAAAAGAGAAGGGTAGGGATACATAGGCATGCTGACTGTCTCTAGATTTATCAGTAGGATGAAATGGAGTATATCTGCAAAAGAATCAGAAAAGAAGGTATTACACAGTGCTCAGTGGTATCTGACTCTTCGTGAGCCCCTCTGGGGTTTTCTTGGCAAAGATACTGGAGTGGTTTGCCATTTCCCCCTCCAGCTCATTTTACAGATGAAGAAACAGAGTTAAGTGACTTGCCCAGGGTCACACAGCTAGTAAATGTCTGAGGCCACATTTGAACTCAGGAAGATGAGTCTTCCTGACTTCAGGACCAGCATGTTATCTACTGTGCCACCTAGCTGCCCATGGTATTACATGTTCTTCTCTAATTATGGATCTCAGAGCCCTTTATAAATCCACATTCCTCCAACCTCTTCTGATAGAAGCCCTTCATAACCCTAACCTTCCTCCTAGCTTTTCTGTCTTCTTACACCTTATGCTAACTTACGTAACCCATGATCCTGTGACACCAGCCTCTATGCTGCTCCTTACAGAAGACACTCCATCCACCTTCTGGCTTCCTTCAAGTTCCAGCTAAAAATCTTACCTTAAAAAAAAAAGTTGGGGTAGCTAGGTGGCACAGTGGATAGAGCACCAGCCCTGGATTCAGGAGGACCTGAGTTCAAATCCAACCTCAAACACATAACACTTACTAGCTGTGTGACCCTGGGCAAGTCACTTAACCCCATTGCCTAGCCAAAAAAAAAAAAAAAGGTCTTTCCCAATCCCTTCTAATGCTAGTGCCTTCCCTCTGTTGATTATCTCCAATTTTCCCCGTACATATGTATGTTTGTCTATAGCTGTTGGTGCATTGCCTCCCCCATTAGAATGTTCTTCTCTGGAGAACAGGAACTGGTTTCTTGCTTTAATTTTCACATTGCTGGCACATAGTAGGTGCTTAATATTTCCATGTTAAGCGACTGAATAGTAAGGACTATAGATTAGATTCCTACACTCAGTCTGTTGCTCTGACTGCACCACAAGATTCTCTGAATGGATAGACTGCTGAGCTCCTTCATAATCACACTAGTGAGAAACTAATTTATGACTCTGTACATAATTAGGGAAATGTTTTGGCCAATCAATATATTCCCTTCCTTCACCTAGAGTCCCACTGCCTTAAATTTCAATGCTCTATATATTAATCTGATTGCAAACAAGGCAGGAACCTGGCCTGGTTCTCTGTCGTTCTCCATGGAGCCACAGATTCTAGTGCCAAACTCTGGAGAATGTTCGGTGACAACTAAGGAAAGTCTGCCTTTCAATGGAGAGCTATAAATGGACCACAAGTTCAGCTATTTATTAAGTCCCTTTGGTGTGTTGTCTTCTCCCATTAGACTGCAAGCTCCTTGAAGGCAGAGACTGTCTCTCCTTATTTGTATCGCCAACAGTTAACACAGTGCCTAGCAAATAATAGGTGCTTAATAAACACTTATTTGATTGATTTTACTTGCCTACTGTGGGGTGAGACATTGTGCTGGGGACTGAGATACAAAACAAAATTATTTTTGCCCTCAAGATTTTTTTTTTTTACTAAGGGAATACACAACATATATACAAGTAAATGAAATGCAAGGTAGCTTGAAGAGGGAGATAACTGTAGGGGAGCATCAGGAAAGACTCAAGGAAGGAGGTGGCACCTAAACTGAGCTTTAAACAAAGACAGAATTCTGTGCATAGGGAGATAACCTGGAAAGAACAAGCACACAAATGGGAAATGGAAGGTCAAGTGGGGAAAAACTGCAAGTAAGCCAATTTGGCCGAGGACAAGAGTGTGTAAAAGGAAGTTTTAAGCTTTAATGTTTTAAAACTGCACTAAGAGTTTTAGGACACCCTATAAAATGAGTCTAAAAAGAGAAGTGAGAACCAGATTGTAAAGGGATTTAAACGTCGGGCTGAGGAGTTTGTTTTTTATCCTAAAGGCAATAGGGAGTCATTGAAGATTGTTGAGTAGGAGACATGGTCCAACTTGTGCTTTAGGAATATTAATTTGGCATCTATGCAGATGTGGGTTGGAAAAAAGACATCCTGGCCCCAAACTTACCTTTACTGTTGCATTATACAGTACTCCCCTTCACATACTCCCAGTTCATTGAAACTGGCCTTCTTGCTGTGCCTCACATACAAATTCCATCTCTTTCCTCAGCACCTTTGGGACAGCTTGGTGGAACAGTGAATAAAGCAACAGACCTGGAGTCAGGAAGACCTGAGTTCAAAACTGACCTCATATACTTAGTAGTTGAGTGACTCCAACCAAGTCACTTAACTACTGTCTGCCTCAGTTTCCTCATCTGTAAAATGGGGATAATAATAGTACCCACCTCCCAGAGTTGTTGTGAAGATCAAATGAGATAGTTTTAAAGTGCTTAGTAGAGTATGTAGCACATAATAAGCACTATATATAAATGTTAACTATCATTTTTATTATGATGATTATTAACGTTATTATATGGGCTAAACCCTCCCCCCACGCCTAGAATCCACTTCCCCTCCTCACCTTTGCCTAATACAATTCCTCATTTTCCTTTAAAACCCAGCTCAAGCACCAGGAAAAGGTATTTCCTGAATCCCCTACATGCTAGTACCTCTCTGAATTGTTTTGGGTCTTGGGGTTTTCTTGGCAAAGCCACTAGAGTAGCTTGCCATTTCCTTCTCCAGCTCATTTTACAGATGAGGAAACTGACGTAAAGAGAGTTAAGTGACTTTCTCAGGGTCACACACCTAGTGTCTGAGGTCACATTTGAACTCAAGTCTTCCTGACTCTAGGCCAGGAGCTAGCTGCCCTCCTTTCCTAAATTTCATTACATTTATTTGGCATATGCTTATACGTGTAACATCTCCCTTGCTAGAATGTGACTTCACTGAGGGCACAAACTGTTTCATTTTGTCCATCGCGGCCAGCACTGTGCCAGATACATAGTAGGCACTTAGTAAATGCTTAGTAAGTCTACCCCTAGAACTCAAATCAATTCAATAGGATGCTGTCTTCTGCTAGAAGATGAAGAGGCTGAAGAGTAATAGTTCTTTTCCTCTAAGATAAAAGAGAAGCTGTGACAAAGGACTTTGGGAATCCACTTTCATTACCTAAGGTAAAGTGATGAGCAGGCTGAAATGCTGACAAGTGATGGTTGTATGCAGACTATTAGGATGGGCATTTTGTAACCACTGCACTCCTCCTACCCCTTCTCTGGCCTATAGTGGCATGAGGAGCGAATAGCAGCAAACACAAATCCCACTCTAGGTAAAAACCATGATATTCCCTCGCAAGAGATGGGGGGAGAGGGTGCAAATAACCCATTGTGGGGAGGAGGCAGGAGGGGAATCCAGACTGGTTAGAGTAACCTCCTGGTGGGGGAACACTTGCACTAATACAGGCACAGAAAGTCCTGGGTCTCTTATTTTTCCTACTTCTTGGAAAACAAATTACACCACAGGCCTCTGTTACAGGGAAGCACTTACCCACACAGCTACGGACCCTTCCCCCCACCCCTTTGCTTTCTCACCACAAAGTCCTCGCTTCTTAAATGAAAAGGACTCTATTAAAAGTCTGACAAATAAATAATACATAAAGCAGGGGTGCCAGTTTATTTATTCATTCATGTTAAGGCTTTCAAAATAAATTATTTAAAATTAAACTTTAAAACTGTTTCTGGTCCATAAGGACACCTCCTCCCCTCCATCCCCCCCAGGAGCAAGACCCACTAACTAGAGGATTCTTCCTCCTTAGCCCAAGGTAGCTATGCTTGCCTCGGGGAGCCTTTCCTGGGACATATAACAGGAAGCTGCATTCAAAGGAACAGCTCTTACCTATGAGCAAAGGCAAGGGCAGCATTTTCAACTCTGGGCATAGAGCCAACACCTGCTGTATGAACTCTGCACAAAGAGCACCACTATTCAGCTAGTCAGTTGGTCTAGGACAGGTTTCCCTGGCTTTATTGACGGAGGAACCACTAACTGCTGACTTATTCAGCTGTATTCCTGTTACCTAGGCTTTAGCAGAGATATATCACTTTTTACATCACGAACATCACCATCATAGCTAGCATTTGTATAGCTTAAAGGTTTGCAAAATGTTTTACACATGTGTATATATTACATGCTTACATGTTATCTCATTTGATTGTCACAACAATTCTATAAGGCAAGGGCTATTATTATCCCCATTTTACAGATAAAGAAACTGAGGCTGACATAGGTTCAGTGACTTGACCAGAGTGGTCACACAGCTAGTAAGTGTCAGAAGTAGGATTTGAATTTAAAGTCTTTTGGATTCTAAGCCCAACACTCTATCCACTTCACCATCTATCTGCCTGACACACACAGAATAAATCTCAGTATTATATTCATAGGTTTGTGTGTCTGTCCAACACTTCCATGAAGCAAAAGGAAAAACTGGGGAATGGGTGCTCATTTCCCCATTAGGCAGCATCCACTGTTATCAATATTCTCTCACATGCTTCTCCAACACCCCCACACCTGCTGGTACCCCTCACTACCTTGCAGCACAACTACCTGCTTCCCCCTTGCAATGCCCAGATCCCCTCACTAAGATATTCCCCAAATATGCTTTCAAGTAATGTTTTACGTTTTTATCTTTCCTGCCCTTCTCTGTCAGCCCCTGCCCCGAAACTAAATTTACTCAACATGAGACCGCAATGATCCATGTGAACATGCTCAGTGGGTGCTAGTTTCATTCTTCTTATGTAACATGTGCATTTTAACAGTGACTTTTGAAAATATGATGCCTTAACACAAAGGAGTGACACTAATGAGGATGATTTCAGGCCACAAGGGAAGAGATTTTTGGTCCCTGTTCCAGGCAAACATCCACTCTACCTAATTGTATCTGCCTACTAGACAGCATGGTGAGAATACCTTTGCCCTTGGTTTGCAACCTGGGGACATGAGGCACAGGGTGGAGAGAATGACCTACCCAAGGTCACAGAGTGACAAGGAGGAAGCCAACAAGAAAATCTAGATTTCCGGCTTCCTGAGACTGAGTGATCCAAGCATAGCATATGTTTGCATCACTCAGCCTCATTCCCAGTCTGACTTTCAAATAAGAGTCCTGAAGGATTTGTCAAACACACACTGGCATCTGGTAAACATAAAAAGAATGCTGAATTAAAAGAAGGCATTGTTCAGCACCTTTCTGCAAAGGCTGTATAGAACTTTGCTGAACCTCTGTAAAGACAAAGAAAATTCAGCTTTGTCTGGGAGCTCCAATGTCCCTTCCAAGAAAACATCATTCATTTCTTCCCCTTCTAGCCAGTCAAATACACCTGAGGACTAAAATGGTTTTCATAATTAGCTGAAGTTCCTCCAGAGCAGGAGCTCTTAGTCTTTTTTGGGTGATAGACCCCTCTATCAGTCTGATGAAGCCTATGGACTCCTCAGAATAATGTTTTCAAATAATTGAAGGAAATGCTAAATTTCAATTAGGGGGTCAGTGAACATTAAAATGTAATGTTTTCCCATGAATCACTTGAAATCTATCCTTATATAGTAGATCCCAGCTTAGGAAACCCTTTTTGAGATGGCGTCAGACAAAGGTATAGAAGCAAAGTAGAGCTCCATCTGTCCTTGCTCCACATATAAGACACTGAATGTTGGAAAAAAAAAAAACTAGAGGAATGCTTTCAGAGAATATAAAAAAGGACTAAGATTTGGGGTTCAAAGTCTAAAAGCATATTTTACAAACATTTTAAAATGTTACAAGGTTAACATAGGGTATCCTGAACAAAACAAAACATCACATATCCAAAACTATTAACTTTGAACAGACATCTAAGATTTTGGTGGGAAAATTAAGAGAACTTGTCATAGGTCAAAGAAAATAAGGGTCCAGTTCATGAGAGAAAAATCTGTGGCCTCTACAAGGAGCATCACTGCTACAGGTCAAGTGTGACTGACATAGAGCAAAGCTTTGAGATTCAAGTATAGAGAAGGGAGTTAACTCAGGTCCTTTTCTGGAGAAGAAATCACCCCAGAAGGAGGAAAAAGCTTTTATCCTCTGCCGTTTGTCATTTATTGATGGAAAAAATGCATAAGATGCAGATTCTGCATCTAAGAATCATATAATCAAGTATATGGTTTGAAAGAATAGAAAGCATTCTTTCTCTGCCTCAATCTCAATTTCCCCTCCTGATAGAGGATGAGATTCTAACTACCCCCTACCCAAATCCTTCCTTCCTTACAAGCTCCATGATCATGGCAAGTCATTTAACCATTCTGAGCTTCAGTTTCCACAACTGCAAAATGAGGATAATATCTATAATACCTGCCTTGTACATGGCTGTTGTGAGGCTCAGATGAGCTACTAATGGGTCTAAAGCATATTGCAAACTTTTTAAGGCAACGTACAAATAGCAACTGACATCATCATCATCATCAACATTACTATTATTATTCACCAACCTTCCTTTACAAGAAAGACAGTAAAAACCAAAGAACTGGATATTTAAAAGCAGTTTTAAAATTATCCTAGAAAAATTGTGGTGAGTACAAATAATATAGGACTATATCTGGCTAGACACCAGGCAGAATAAGAAATGCAGCAGGAAAGAAAGATGATCCAAATTGAAAGACAGATGAGACATTTTAAAGTCATAGCTAATCCACCCTCTGGGTTTTAAAAACACAAATAAACCAAGATAATAAACATGCATCCAAACACTACCTTTTCCCTGAGAATCTTAGAGTACTTTTTTTTTAAACAAAAAGATACATCTTCACCTTACAAATGGAGGCAGAGACATGTCACAGACAGGATGATTCAATGGCTGAGTTAGGATTAAGATTTCTTATTCCTAGTTCCCCAATCTTCCCACAAGACCAGCCACTTTTTCCTATGAACTCTCTTTAGCACAGTATTCATCTTTCACACTTAGAATATACAGTGTGAGAACTGGAAGGTACTTAAAGATTATGTAATCCCCTTTTCTCATTGAAGAGATGAGGAAACTGAGGCCCAGAGAAGCTAAATGACTTCTCTGTTAAGACAGACTTCCAGTGACCAGACCTTAAATTGAGTTCCTAGCAGAGGGTTTTCCAAGGTGCAGCAATTTGATAACACTCTTTCCATGTCCGTTAAATAAGGCGGCAAATGTTATCATTCAAATGCAGTCCTGACAAGGGTACCATTAGTCCTGAGCATTGCA